AATACTGGTTACTATTCGGAGAAACTTTATCAACAAGTAAGTGCACACGAATGAAAGAATCAAATACATTTGAGCTGAAATATTTCTGATGTAGTGTCGTAGATTAACTTTTGATATCGAAATTGATTAATGCGGATCTTACTCATGTCATAGATTTGGTTACTTTATTACTTATAAACTAAAACATAAAAATCACAAGAGAAATAAAGCTGAGTATTGACTTAACGAGTATCTTTCTAGTAACAGTTTTAACTTCTATTTGACTGATCATGATAACGTCTTATAACACATTTTACAAGAAGTGAATCAAGAAAAATTTCATACACCAGAAAATAATGTGCTTACTGCATTCTTTCAGAATATTATCATATAGATGATGTGGCATATAACGACATTCTGTTTGAATATTTTTAGTAGAAATCTCTGATAAACGCAAAATGTGAAACAAAATTTTATTTAAAATAGAGAAAATCTTGTGATAATCTTTAATAAGACTTCTGGTAAGAAGAAGTTATTTTACCATAAGTATTCGATCGGTGATAGATAATTAATTACAATATTATTTTTGAGAATATTAACGTAAGATTTAAATCTTTTCTTCAGAAATATATTAGAGAATATGTAGAACTACTAATTCCGTCTTTATCTACTTTTGTATTTCTTAAAAAAAGCGAGCAATGAATGAAATCATGAGTGACAAATGTAGTAGCAATCACCAATAGAAGATTTTGTTTTTCATTCTAGATTCTTGCTAATATAACACTTACAGATCAAAATATACTCGAAGTGGGTTGTGGCAGAGGTGCTGGTGCTGCCTGGTGTGTTCGTAAATATGCTCCTCGTTCTTATGTTGGAATGGATCCTTCTCGAAATGTCATTAACCTATGTCAACAAACTTACTCAACAACTCCTCGACTCTCGTTTATGGTAGCTGGTCTAAAAACTTATTTATCATTTCAAAATGAATCAATGGATGTTGTTCTTTCGATTGAAACAACAAACATTTTTGATGAAACACAAGCAGTGAAGGAATTTGTCGATGAAATTACTCGTGTGCTTACTCCTAATGGATACTTTCTCTGGTGTGGTTTGTGTAATGTAGATGGATCAAGTTTATTGATTGATTATTTAACAGCAAATAATGGATTTATTATCAAAGAAAAGGTCAATATTACAAGAAATGTTCTTCATGCACTTGATATTCAAAGTAACTCACGTGCTGATTTTATTGACCGTTATATTCAATCTGCAGATCAAGAATATTGTCGTCTATTGGCTGGATTACCTGGCACTGAACTTTATGATAATATGCAACAAGGAAGGACAGAATACTGGCGAGTTGTATTCCGCAAGAAGATAACAACCGATACACCTCTTATTTAACAATAACATTTACTCTTTTTTTTTAACTAACCCAAATATTTTTGCTTACTAGATAGCCGTATTTTACTCAAGCCTTTTTCAATATTTTGCTTTTTTTAATAATAAATAAACAGAAAGTAACAACTGTAGAATATTTTGCGAGGATGTAGATATAAGATCAATATATACATATCTCATATCCTCGTAGTTCAAATAGATATTTTTATTTAGATCACAATTCACTCTAAAAGAACGAACTATTGTTAGAAAAACAAAAAGACTCACCGGCATAGTCAGATATTAATGTCTGACGAGTTCTTCTGAGTATCTTGAATTTTCGAGACAAAGTATCAAAAGACAACTATTATTTATTTACACTAAGATAATGCCTATATTTTTGCACTTTATTTTATTTTTATCTAAAGATTATAAAAGTTTGACTGGCAAAAAGAACATAAAAACAGGGTCTGGGTGGGTGTTAGATAAGAATAACACACACCCATACTCTCATGATTATAAATTGATTTTGACGAGATACTATAAATAATTGAACAAGATCCCTTTTCTCTAGCATTGGTACTAAAATTATTAAGCTTTTAAAGAATTTTTTCACAGATATTAAGACTCCTAGCAGAATGGCATTTTGATTTATCGTTTAAAACTGTTGCATGTACTGAACTTCAAATCATGTTCCTTATGATTATATCTACCGATGAATATCAAAGATTAAATTTTTAGAAGCAAAAAGGTAAATAATGAAAACCTACAAGTTTGAATTCAAATAATCATTTATTAAACATTAAAAAAAAATAAGAATTATTCTTCATCGAGCAAACAAAAATTCACTCTTTATTTTTCTATATTTTCACTTGTCATTACGAGCACACAGTATAATAACATACCAGACAAAAAAAGAAAGCATACAAAAAATAAGAGATTATTAAAATACTGATACTTTTGTTATTTATTCTAATGTACCGTCAATAGAAAAATTATCTATAAACGTACATATGGCCATTGTTACATAAAAACAAAGAATATATTATAAATATGTATATAACATAAAAAATATAAGTATGTTAAAGTTTTTATATTTAAGAAGAAAAAAATATAAGTTTTGTTTCGATATGAAAAAAAAATTGAATAGAATACAATCATTTCCCAAGACTAAATGAAATAAAAAAATAAAGTATTAAAAAATATGAAACAAAAATATCTTACCGATCCCAATCACCGAAAATTGTAGGAGCTTGTTGAGCTGCTATTAAATAAAAGATAATAATAGTTAATGATCAAAAATAACATACGTTTTCTTTGTTCACCAAATGTTGGTGCATAGGACGATAATTTTGGAGCACGAGCTAGACAATATAAAAATAATTAAAATTTTATATAATAATTTTTACATACACGCTGAATTACTATTATCTGATGGATCCATAAGCCAATTAAAATTATCACCACGTACTGTTTGTTTAGGATTAATACCTAGGAGAAGAAATTGTTTTTTTGTTTATTTCAAAGAATAACAAAAAAACAACGTTTACCTGGTTTATACCTTGAGTTACCCAAATAATATTGCTTAGCAGATGATTTCGTTGTTGATTGAGGTGCTCTCGTCGCACTTTGATCTCGACTATGTGTGTTAGAAAAAAAATCATCAGGATCAAGATGAGTTGTTGGTTTAGTAGAAACATTTGTTGTTATTTTATTTGAAAATAAATTTGATGATTGATTTTTAGTTGTTGATCGATCTTCATTTAACCAATCGGTTAAACTGTCTCTTCTTGTTGCTGATGATGCAGAATTTTTTGATGGTCCTATTGGATTTAATAAGCCTTTTCCTGTCTGTTGAGGTTGAATTGATCGACCTTGTAAAATCGCATCAATATCAAATGATTGATCAACTGCTGGTTTAGCTGATTCTTTAAAATTTGATGTTCGATGTTGTTCAGGTATATGAGATAAATTTGGTTTAGAAATATTTCCTTTTCGATTATCTACGAAAGATGATTCGTATTTTTTCTGCGAAGATATATTTGATGGTGGTAATTTTTGTGGTTGAGGATTATTTGCTTTTATAGTAGGCTTTTTTGGTTCTTCAAATTCTTTTAATAATGCATCTAAATCTTTCATATCATCAAGGTCAGCTGGAGTCTTATTCTAAAAACAGAAATCATTCTCTTTTTTACATATAATTTCATATTTCTCTTACTCCAGCCATTTGCCAATCATCTGTAAATATATTATTTTTTGATTCCGATGATCTTGCTGAATTTATTGGTGATGAATTATTTCCAGTTGGTGCTTGTGAATATGTTGTTGGTATTAGATCTTGACTGACTTTAAAATAGGAATGTTTTAAACACTAAAAGAAAAAGAAATTGAATTAAGATTTTCTTTCACAAAAAAATATGTTAGATTTGTGCTGCAGTTGGCCGTTTTTTAGGATCCCAATGAAGTGTTGCTTCAATTAAATCAATACCATCACTATTTGAACTATGAATTATTTTTTTAAGATCTGTTCGAGCACATTGTGGCCAACGAAATGATAATTTAGTTGCTAACATATATCCTTCAGCCCATTCATCCTAGAAGTTTGAAGTTTTGTATAACAAAAAACAAGAAGAAAATAAATGACACTAACTCTATTTGGTGTACCCATAACAGCACAAATTTTAAACATTTCATCGATTTCACTGCTACCAGGAAATAATGGTCTTAATGTATATAGCTCTGCTGCAATACATCCAACTAAATAATTCAATAGATATATAGTTAATAGTATGATGAAGATTTTTGCCAGCCCACATATCAATTGGAGATGTGTATGAAGTAGAACGAAGAAGTACTTCGGGTGCACGATACCATCGTGTAGAAACACTGAAATATTTTTATTTTTTATTCTTCTTACAAAACAAAACACTTACTAATCAGTATAAGGAGGTCTAGAACGAAGTTCACGAGCAAGACCAAAATCAGCTAATTTAATTAATTCTACACCTTTACACAAGATATTTTCTGGTTTTAAATCACGATGAAAAAATCCTTAAAAACAAAATTGTCATTTTGTCATATTTACTTTTTCAATAAATAACAAAAATAACACTTGACGTCTCTACTTTTACTGGTAAGGTAACAATATACAGAGCATTGAAGAAGTGGTAGTACTAAAGTGACAGAACGATTAGGGGAGCTAGAGAGACCAAGCAGTAATGTCAAAGTCGAAAGTTGAATTCAAGTATTTAACTACTCAGTTATTTAACTATTCAATTATTCAGGTATTCAGTTGAGGGTGGGTGTGTGATAGATATAAAACCTGCACGCCACACCTTCACCCACATTCACACCTACAAAAACACGATTTTGACTTTTTCAAATTTCGAGATAATTAAATTGAAAAGCAAAAGCAAAAGTTTGGCGCCACTCCTTCCTAACAAATATTTTACAGCTGACGATAAATGATGAATCAGCGAAATAATTAAACAGTCAACCAATATCTTTCTCTTAAAACATGCTGAGAAAATTTAATAGAGGTTCCATAGTGATACTGATCATTATGTTGATCGATTTTTTCAAAAATCGTGAATATCGAGATTTAGAGGACTGCTTGGCATTTTAACCTGTATCCTCGACTTGTCGCGATGCAATCTAGTTTTCTTATATAATTTATTCATAAATGTTTTCTGAAAATGTTTCTTTGCTAATAATTATTTTGTGCATATTTCTGTTTAAATTGATCTTTCATTTCATAGAAATCTTCTTCTTATAAATGAGATCATATTGATTAATTGATAGAAAAACTTCTATACTGATATAATGTTAAAGTTATTTATGAGAGTATTATGGGTAAGTTCACAACTTGGATAAGAAAAGACAATTTTCAATGATTATTTTTCGTTTCTCCTTTGAAGAAATCATTTTTTCTCAAATATATTTCTAGGAAATAAAAAAGTTTTCTTCTCTAAAATGAATCGATTGAAGGAAAATTGTTTATTTTTATTGATTCTTTGAATCTAATAGAAAAGATTTATTCAGATAAATTTTACACTTTTATTATTATTCATTCTCATCCAATATTCATACCAATCACATTGATATATTATTTTCAAATTCTCATTACTTTCATAATCATCTTTCAATTGATTCTTTATTGGGAATAGTTTAGTTTTGATGAATAATAATGATCGTTAGGAATTTAGTCAAACATGCAAGATTATCATGTTGAGGATATTGACAGAGATCCATTCATACACAAAGATAATTCAAATAATGTGATCTTCTTCTCTTTGACTAATAATTTAATTTTGATTCAAGTTGATTTCTCTAAATCTTTAATGTGATCCTCGAAAATATCCATGATGATAATCGATTGAAAAACCATCTAAGATCGGATTAGATAAGATTACAAAGAAAAAATTCTCTGATATCCAGACGGTATTTATCAGATTTTGTCTGTTTTCTTCAAAACATGATAAAACAAGAAGATTTTCTTTAATCGAACAAATTATTTCAATATATAGAAGATTTGACGTAGAAGGAAAATAAATAATGAATAATAGAATACTTCAACAAATCATAGGTTTTTGTTTAGACCGTTAATTTCTTTACCGACGATTTCAAATTAATAAAATAAGAACATAATTTCGAGATTAGTATTGAGAAATATGTCTGAATACTAATTTAGAAGTTAATTATTATTTATTAAGATTTTATTAAATATGTTGTATCATTATACCTCAAATTATAAAATGCTTTTTCCATTGAAGTAAATCTCATTATTTTTCTCATCGAGTATTTCTTTGCCTAGACAAAAAGAAATTTAAATAAATGTTTTTCAATAGAGAAACTAATCTTGTCTTATTGAGCAAAGATGTAAATAAACAATCTTTTGAAAAAAAAGAACATTTACTTTTATTCAATTTCAATTAGAATTATGATTGAATATCTCAAATTTGTTTTTAGAGAAAAATATTAAAAAGAAACAATGAGAATATTTTCTGATTAATTTAATTTAATAATTAAATCTAATTAGGAAAACAGATTAAAAGTTTGCCTTGGAAACGAAATCTAGTTGAACAAAATATCGTTGATAACTCAAATGAAAATCATTAAAAATAATAAAATATATTAGAAATTGATTTTGAAATCTTAGAAAAATCATTTCTTTTTTATTGATCATTATTAATTAGTTAGTAAAATGATTACAACAATATTTATTTTTCTTACCAATTATTAACATTCAACTTGATCAATATTAAATTTAAAGTATTTAAAGAATTTATTCTCTCTCTGAAACACGTTCTTATATGTTTTCATTCTATGAATATTATTGAGAAAAAGTAAATTATCAATTAAAATCAAATACATTTACTTACATTTACATTTATATCGTTGATCAGTTTTTATTCTAATATAACAATTCTTAACAAGTTATCGTTCATTGAAATGTTTTACATTAATATTAATCAATAGAAAATAATATTAATAGAAACGTATTTGAAATGATTTTATTCTAATCTAATTTTATTCATCGTTGATACAATTGTGAGAATAGTTCGAGAGAAACATTAGTGAAACTTTTATTACCATGACTATTCTTTTCATCTAAATTGAAAATAAAAAAATTGGAATTTAAAAAATAAATAATTCTTAATAGAATTAAAAATCTCTTTTACTTTCATTTAGATGATAAAATAAAAAGATTTCAAATTCTCATTGAAAATAACTCAATTTAAATAATAATATACCTTGATTTATAAACAATATAATCAAAGCCATTTCTTTTTTATTTTATCATATATTTATCTTTCTATTAAATAATATCGATTAAGAAAACCATCTTAGCTTCTATAGAAGTCGACTAAATTATTTAAAAAAATCCTTTCTCCTGTATTCAACAGAGTCTATATTCTATTCAAATTTTATAATAGTATATGTAAAATGGTCAAAATATCTTGATAAATGATAATTGCACCAAATAGATAAAACAGTTTGATTTTAATACTATGTATTGTTACCCAATCGAGGAATTCTTTTTGATAAATAACAAATAATGAGACTACTTTCATTTTCTACTATAAAAAAGTTAATATTTATTGAGAAATATTTTTCGTCTCAATATAAATAGTATTGATAAACAAAACTAATCTTTATTTTATTCTTTTCGTTCTCTTGCCTTTTTCTTATATGAAATATATGACGTTGTGTGATATGAACACAAATGGATAATGAAGTAATATACCGAGGATAGTGATAACACTACCCCATCCGTTCATCATTGTAATTACAATAAAATAAATAGTAGAACAAGAACAAAATAATTTATAGATAAGAGTTTTTTCATAAAAAAAAGAACAAATCAATGTAAAACATATACAATTATTTTTGTTGAAATTTTCAATAAAAAAAAATTCTATAAAAGAAAAAGCTTTTCATTAATATAGATTACCTTGATAAAGGAAAAAAATCAGATGAAATTTATCGATATTTATGTGTGTTTGTTCGTATTTATACCATTGTGCAATACAATCTATAATATTTTTTTTTTTCTTTTTCACCTATACATTAACTAACGAATAGAATAATCGTTTAATGTCCGCTGATTGATTAAAGTACATGAAAAAATAGTAGAATCTCATATAAATTTTGTATTGAATAACATTTCAATGTATGAACAATCTGCAGATAGACTATAGACAATCTTTTAATTAAATATATATTTATTTAATTTCTATATTATTCAGCGAGATATAATATAATAAACTAATTGTAAAGTATACTTATTCCTCGTTTATTTTATTTTATTTTATTTTATTTCAAAGTAGGAGTAAAACTTTTAAACTATCTATAAACTGATTATCAACACAAAATAACGTGTTTTTGCTTTTCATTTCATTCTGTTACATTAGCACACTATTAATAAAAGGTAAGGTTTTA